TGTTATTTGGTTATTTAAAAAAGCTTAAAATTAATATTGTTGGATTAAATAGATTTTGTTAGGATTAAATAGATTTTGTAATGAATTAAATAAAAATCATAGGTTTTAAATATTCTAGTGGCATATCTGTAAATATTGTAGATTTTGACCCGCTCTTTGAAAGCGCGGGATTTCGTTTTTGTTAATAAAACTATTAATCCGTTTGTTAGTTTATAATAAAAATGACAAATATATTAGTTTAACCTGTTTATACTTGATAAATATTTTGTGACCTAAAGAAAATGACCATATTAAAAAGTTTTTAGCTTATTCCCATATATATATATATATATATATATATATCAAAATGAATTTTTGACCCGTATACAATGCAGAAATGATAATGATAATTGTAGTTAATATGGTATGTAAAAAATAATGATTTGGAATGTATAAATAAAATAATATATTTTCTATTTAATTTTATTTCAAATTAAAAGACACTATTCATTTAAATCAATATGAATTGTTACAATTTTGAAATACCCGCATAATCCGAACAATATTCATTTTATTAGATTTTTAGTTTTACATCACCAAGCATGATATTTTTTTAAATAAATATTATAAAATCCATATGTCTACCTATTAAGACTTCTTAATGGTAGATAAAATGGTACTTCTCTTTTAATAGAGAAGATAAAGACTTAATTATAAATTTATTAAAAATATCAATCTATTTTATTTTTAGGTTATAATAAAATTTAATTAATATAATTTAAACTAATATTATGTTACTTAATTACGAATTAATTAATGCATCATTTAATAAAAAATATTTAAAATGTTTAGTAGGATTTTGTTAGATTTTTCTCAACAGATTTCTTTATAACTAAAAATATAATTAAAATTAATAATTAAAATTAATAATCAAAATTGATTTATTATTAATATTTTATTGATTATTATGTTATATTATGCAATTAATGAAATAGACCTAGTAAGACTTCTTAATGGTAGATAAAAATGGTACTTCTCTTTTTGGTTATACATATATACTTTCACATTATTGTTAGCGAAAAAGATGCAATTATAAATGTCCAAAATATTATTTTTTTCCAGATCATAATTGAG